GAGTGGGGGGGAAAAAATCAGCCTGAAGAGAAAGGCAACCGAAATAGAAGGGGAAGCCTGCTAATTGTGTGGCCTGAAAAAGGAGGATCAATATTTTACTGCCAGGGAAACAACCAGTTTCCCTGGCAGCCAGGTCAGCGGCCCAGCTGTGTGAGCTCCAGCAACAACAGCTGCTTCCGCCGCCCCTGGCAGGCCCAGTGCGCCCAGCCCTCACGCCTGGGAGCCCGGCGCGCCCCCAGCGCAGCCCAGCCGTGCATGGTGTGTGCGCCCCGCTCCCCCAGCCCGCGGGCAGGCCCCCAGCATCTGGGGCCCCGGTTCACCACGAAGACCACCTGTGGGTGGTTATTTGCTGTTCTCACCGTGTGACCTTGAGCAAGCCCCTCCCCCTCCCCTCGACTTGGCTTCCCCGTCTGCCGAATCAAGGGCTGCGTCAGCTGAGCGCACCCCTGCCCTCGGGGGTACCAGCAGAAGTTTATCTAGTGTCCAGGAAGGTTGACGCTCTTGGTGATCAAGGTGAGGGGTTCCAGCCCTAGGGGGTACTGCTCCTCCATACACAAGAGGACAGAGCGGGGCGGGGATTGAAACATACTTTGGTGCAACCTGGCAAGAGCCTGCCTCTGTGGAAGGCAGGAGGGTGCAGAGACTCGGGTCAGCGGGGCTTGGGGGTCAAGGAAGAGTTACCACTACAGGGATTCTCTGAGTCAGGGGTCCCCAACCCCCGGTCCGCGGACCAGTACCAGACCGCGCAGCAGGAGGCCAGCCAGCGAAGCTTCTACCTCTCCCCGTCGCTCCCCATCGGTCACATTACTGCCTGTATACCCATCCCCCAGACCCGTCCGTTGGAAAAATTGTCTTCCACGATACCGGTCCCTGGTGCCGAAAAGTTTGGGGACCACTGCTCTAAGTGTCGTAACCTCTCTAAATGTCTGAGCCTCAGTTTCCTCAACTGTAAAGTAGCTGCTATTAAGGCTGGTGTGAGGATCAGATGAGATGAGTCCAGGGACTTGCCTGGCGGTCCAGTGTTAGGACTCCGCACTTTCATTGCCGAGGGCCCAGGTTCAGTCCCTGGTTGGGGAACTGAGATCCTGCAAGCTGCCTGGCGCGGACCAAAAAAAGAAAAAAAATGAGGCTAGTCCAGCCAGAGTTCATGGCGAGCCCTCGGTGAACCCTGCCTGTTTCCTACAGAGCTGTATAATGGTTGGTGTGGCACCTTCATACCCACTGCTTTCTTGGACTTTCACTCTTTGAAGAGCCCTGTGGCAGCCCTGGACCCACCGCTCAGCGGTGTTCCAGGGACTTTGCATTGGTCCCCAGGACCCCATCTATCTGCCTGTCATCGACCACCCTGGCACCTCTGCTCCAGGCTGGCTTTCCCTGGAGGCAGGGGGACAGATAGCCTGGCCCCACCCGTGTCTCCCAGCCCTGGGGAGCTACGGACTCCATGGATTACAGAATCTGAATCTGAATCCACAGCCTGCTGCCCCTTTCGTGGATCTGAGGTTGGGCCTCCACATCAGCCATTCAACGCTTGGTGACGACTCTGCCCTTGCCTCACATCAGAGATAATTAAAGCATAACCCCAACCTTGGAGAGGATTGTAGGGGTGAGCACCGGGAGCCCCAGCCCATCCCTGCATTCATAGACCCCCTAGAATGCCACTGATTAGAGGGCAGGAGGAGAGGAGACGGGGCACCAGCTGGGAGGGTGGGTGGGTTCCCCACGGCCCTGAAGGTGGCACCTGGGCATTTCTATTCTCAGAAGCCACATCATTGCCTGGCAGTGTCAGAGGCTGCCTGGCTGGGAGTGTGGGGACAGCTGCAATGCTGAGGAGGCGCCGACCAGGGCGGGAGCTGGCAGAAAGCCACCTTCCTCCTTCTCTGGAATTCTTCCAGCCTTTTCCAAGGGCCTGCTAGGTGCCAGGTTCAGGGGGGTCACAGAGAGACGATGCACAGCCTCTGCCCACCCCTCACCCCCAGAGTCACACCCGAGTGGAAAAGCAGGGTCAGCTGGGACAGAGGTACAAGCTCAGGGCCACCAAGGTCAGGGAGGGAGGAGGGCTGCTTGTATGGGGTCTTCCCTTGCTCACTCAGCTTCCAAACCCCACTGGGTGTGTCCCCATAATTGGAGCGGTCTTCAGACCCCTGCAGCTGCCGCACTAGAAAAGTGTACTGTGGGCGTGCAAGAAACGTGGTCCTTGTGGATAGGTGAATCCCCCAGGATGGCTTGGGCTTCGGAGAATGTGGTGGGCGGTATGGTGGGCTGGAGGGTGTCTGCCGTGACAGTATTAACAATAACAGCAGTGACGGTAATCCTTTCCCTACATGCTATGTCTACAGTTTCCAAAGTGCTTTCATACCCTCCACCTGCAACCCAGCCCCAAAGGAGTCTGGGAAAGAACTCATCCTTGCCCGACTGTGCTTTAGATACTGATGGTGATTACGGGGGGGAGGGGAAAGGTGCCTGGCCACCAGCATGTGAGAGTGCGTGCACGTGTGTGTCCACGTGACCGTGTGTGATTAGCCAGAGGGGCCAGCAGCTACCATCACCCCCCAGCAGAGTGCCCGGCTCATAGGCGGCGGTACCCAGTCGTCCTTATTGAATAAGAAGTAAACAAATGCTTGCAGGTGTGCTGTAGAGGGGCTGCCACTAAATTACAGGTTGATTTAGAAGTGGGCTTCTGGAAGAAATATCAAGAGGCTGCATTTCAGGTATTGGAACTCTCAGGGGGAAAAAACGGGTTCTGACAAAATCAGCCATTGACAAAAACTAGGAAAAAATACCCAGAGCTCACAAGTTTGAAGTCAGATGCTCTGATCAAAGACCAAATTGAGACATCCTTACAGAGAACAATTTGGCAGCTGTTATCAAAAGGCTTAAAAACTTAGATGTCTTGTAGAACCATTTATTTTCATTTATTCAACAAATATTTATGAAGCTTCTATTACATGCCAGTAATGGTGGGAGCTACAAGGTATACAGTGGTGATCAAAATAAACATGATCCTTGATCTCAAGGAGCTTTCTAGAGGGGTAGGGGGGAAGCTACAAATTAATAAAATTATCACATAAACATATAATTACATATTGCAACAAATGGTTCTGAAAGAAAAGTACAGGGTGCTACAAGGCAGGGTAACAGTGGGGTAGGCCCTAATTAGATGGACAGGACAGGCTTGTCCGGGAGGAACATTTCATAGAGGTATAAATGGAGACCTGTGGGATAAACGACATGGCCAGATGATGAGTGGGGAGGACAAGCGTTTGAGATATAGAGAACAGTATGTGCAAAGGCCCTGAGGCAGAAAAGAGCTTGGCTTGCTTGAGGAGCTGACTGAAGGCCAGTGTGGCTAGAATGCAGTGAGCGACAGAAACAGTGGGAGGGGATTTGGCTGGAGGGGCCAGAAAACATACGGTGTTGTAGGCCATGTTGAGGAGTTCGGTGGGAAGGGAGGAAGTATGCAGTCAGGGAGTAGGACATTTGAGTGAGTGATGGTGGAGGAGGGACAAGCAACGGTGATGCCTGGGTCCTCTCTGTGGCCAAGGGGCCTGGGTGGCTGAGGTGGGATATGGAACAACAGGAAGTCAAGGTTCTAAAAGGCCAGGCAGTCCACTGTTCATTCGCACAGCTGTAGAACCCCCCAAAGATGAGTTGTAACAGCAAAAAGTTGGAAATGACCACAATGCCCAGCTATTATGGGTGGTTAATAAGTAAATTATGGTATAGCTACTGGGCAGAATATTTATAACCACTAAAAATGTGAGTGGTACCCACTGGGCAGGGAGGGGAGGTGTTTCTGATATACTGTTAAGTAGGGGAGAAACTTCCCAACATCAGGAATGGCAGATTCCTTTGGGCTACACCTATTTACAAATTTATTTTTTTAACACTTTTTAATGAAGTATAAGGTACAAATAGGACAGAAAAGTACACCTGCCACAAGCGGACAGCTCAGTGAGTTTTCACTGTGTAACCAGACCCTAGATCAAGACAGAGAGACGACCCTGGTGTCTTCCTCCTGCACAGTTCCGCAGATGTAACTGCTATCTTGACCATAATTGGCTTTGCCTTAAATCTTGATTTGTAATTTTTAAATAATGGATACGTACGTCACATAATTATTTCCTCCCTGTAGATCAAGGGTGTCTCAGAACTAGAAAAAAAAAAAAAAGTGGTTAGAACTATGTGTTTTAAAGAAAAGTGGGAAAGGGGAGGGTTTTCGTTTTTGTTTTCAATTCATTAATTTATTTGTTTTTATTTTTGGCTGCATTGGGTCTTCATTCCTGTGCGCGGGCTTTCTCTAGTTGCTGTGAGTGGGGGCTACTCTTCATTGTGGTGCGTGGGCTTCTCGTGGTCGTGGCTTCTCTTGCTGCACAGCACGGGGTCTAGGTGCGTGGGCTTCAGTAGTTGTGGCTTCAGTAGTTGTGGCTCGCGGGCTGTAGAGCACAGGCTCAGTAGCTGTGGTGCACGGGCTTAGTTGCTCCGCAGCATGTGGGATCTTCCCGGACCAGGCCTCCAACCCGTGTCCCCTGCACTGGCAGGCCGATTCTTAACCACTGCGCCACCAGGGAAGCCCAAGGGGAGGGTTTTGATACATTGTCTTTTCTAGAGTTTCTGCAGTGAATTTGTATTATTTTTGTATGAAAGAAACTGCTAAGTTAAAAAAAATCAGTGTTTGTTTTCCACATGCTAGTCTTAGAGAAATAACTTGGAGACGGAAGCTCAGGCCAAACAAACCCGGGTTCTGAGCACTGCGGTGATGGATGTGATTTTCCTCACTCGTGTCTGTCGACCTCAGAATAAAGTGGCCCCACCGCTGTCTGGGGCTGGCGCTGACCCCGCCGAGGGGGACAGGGCTAGGAAGGGGACTGCTGGCATCCCCTTGGTTCAAGTGACAAACCCTCCCTCCCTCCCGGCCTCCCTGGCCAGCCTCAGGCCAGCTCTGTGAACTCTCTGGGGGCATTTCTGGGAGCCTCACACCTGTCCCTCCTTCCTTTCCACAGGTGGAAAAACTGGTGAAGTATTTGGATCCCAACGACCTGGGGAGAATCAACTTCAAGGACTTTTGCCGAGGGGTGTTCGCCATGAAAGGTGAGGTCTTCTGGGGGGAGGGGGGTCCTAGGGTCTCCCAGGATCCTGTCTGGCTGGGGAGACAGGCTTGGGTTTCAGCTCAGATTCCCCCCTACGGGGGTCCCAGGAGCCCAGGATGGGTTCCAGAAGTAGGCTCTGCCTTTGACTCCCCCAGGGGGGCCAAGGGGAAGGGACTTGGGCTCCCACAGCTGTGCCCGCTGGTGAGGGGCTGTGGGTGTCACTGAACCTCTGTCATGTGGTCCCACACCTGCAGCCAGGCATTTCTACCCTTCCCGTTGTCTGTCCCCTTCCCGAGAACGGCCCGCTTTCCTTCCCTTCCATCCCCTCCTCTCCCCTCCCCTCCCCTCCCCTCC